ATAAACAGTTCGTGTTTATTTTTTTACCGTGAAGGCAATGATCCTACATGATCAAAACGATGAATAAGATGCATCTGTATGACATCGCCATTTAACTCTGAAGAGATTATCGCCAGAAAGACCGAACAAAACATCTAAAATTGAGTAAGGAAAACAAAAATAACCTTAGCTGCACTTTTGGTCTTTCGATTCATTTATTACTCATCAATAGTACTAAGTATCAAAAGAATGGAAATCCATGCCCCAAGTGTTCCAACACATGTATAGAAATGCAACAAAAAAGGAAAGGGTTATTACATTTAATATTTTGATACTGTTTCTAAAAAAAATATCAATGTTATTCACAACTTTTAAACCATTGGGTGCTTCCATTAATACATTAGTAGTCATGCATTATGTTAGTGTGATTAAACTCTTAGTCACTGATTTCGAAGGAATATTTACTTGTTTTTATTTTACCTTTTAGCTCGGGTATTCCGTCCTTGCGTATTGCAGAGTTATTTTTTTCTCTTGTGAGCAGGTATAGATTGTTACGTCATTGGCTTGTGAGAGTAACGTCATCAATTTTTGTGAAAACGACGTAATTTTCTCACACAAACCAATGACGTAACAATTAATACCTGCTCACAAAAGAAGATAACTCTGCAATATGCAAAGATGTAATAACCATCCACAATCTGCTTAACCCATGTCAATCAAATACGGGTTTCTGTTGTTTCTGATTGCTACACTTAACTAGAGTGTATTAGTCAATATTATTGTCTCATTATACATATGCAAGACCATACTGTCCGCGCACTCGTGAATATATTCGTCGCGCAATCAATGAGTGCTTTCTGATTCATTAGAAAAACACAAGTGTGTGGTTTTGCTTTTATCACATACTTTCCGTATTTGGTAGAGATCGATACAAAGGTTTTATAAACTTTGATATTTTTCGCAAATACCGGGAACTTTTCAGTTCGCCATGACAAGGGGATTCCCATAAAAAGTAGTTCCGGCTAGTAGGTAAATACAACATTCCGTATTGCACATGTGAAATACAAAACGTTGTATGCCATGGTCTGAAAATTGCTTGTATTACTATAGCAGGACTCAACAGGTGTGTGATAAACAGGAAATACAACATGATTTTTTTGCATATGTCCATCTCATCAGCAACCATACATGGACGCCAATGTGTTGCAGATCAAAATGTGTAACATATATGCAAACAGTGAAGTAGGTGGTAAAAGATTAAGGGAGATATAGGGCTAAATAAATGAGTACCTGAAAAACTCATTGAAGTGAAATTGCAGACAATGCGTCTACGTTTAGTTTTATATCAATCATTTCGTAATGTATGGTACTGTAACTGATTAATATTGATAAACTTGTTAATAAATTTCGAGTATTCAGCTAGCAGGTTTTGCATAGTGGACATCATCGGACTTAAACCTAACCGATACCTGTTTGAGGGTTAACAACAGGTCAAGTATTTATTTTGTAATATTATTATGCCCTGTGACATCATACAGCTTATCAAAACACCCGTATACTTCTTATTTGATATCACATTACAATCGTTGTTATACGAGCGTGTATATCGTGTAGAAAAGTCAAGTGGGGTCGATATACAAAATAATGTAACTTAAGCAGTTAATGATTTGCGAGAGATTATTTTTTGTTTAAAATCGTCTGCCAGAGTACGTGGGTTACTTCTTGGGAACTCCAGTGTCCTACAATATTAAATCATAAGTGAACTTTCAATGAGAGTGAATAAAATATGTTGATAACTTATTCCATAATTTTTGAAAAATTAATTTATCAAGTAAAATTGATAAAATAAATTCTAATATGTGCCAATTTGCCAACATATCAGACCAAAAATTGAAATTCGACGTAGAAAGGAAAGACAATATGAAATCGGGTCTATTGATCTGAGCGACCACCAAATATTAAATAATATTTTCTCTAAAAGTCTGCAATTTTCTCATCCACACAATGCAATTTACTGTACATAAACACTTTATAAAGAGACCATTTCTGTTAGGAAAGTAATGTTGATTTGACTATAACAAGTAATGAACAGATATTAAGTGCCAAAAAGAAAAGAAAAATCATTGATTACTATCAATCACTGTTAATCGAGTGCCCAATAAGGGTTAGAGCTACACTTTTTATGGAACAGGGTCACGAAAGATTTAAGAACTGTTAAATGGTTAATTTCATAAAACTACGTAGAGTTTCGTTGAAAAAAATTCACTTGTTACCTTTAATACAAACAAAAATTATATTCAATATAAGCAGATAACTGAACATTATTCGGTGGATTTGGTTATTCATTAATCATTCTTATATCAAAGCTATTAAGATTAATTGTATCGTAAATACAAATATTTGGCATACAAATTGAGCTTAACATACACCAGTTAAATGTATGTGATTGAAAGGTTTACATTTGTGTAAAGAAAGATCATTTCAAGGGGATATCATTAACCATTGCTATATCGCTTAGATGATTGAAATATTTTATCAAATTCAACTTACATATCTGCTCGCTTTGTATTATACAAACGATGGAGAAATGTGAAACATGTCTGACCGCATTTAATCATTACCCCTATATTACGTTTATATTTTGAGAACAGTATAAGTTGTCGCTTAAAAAACTAAATATATTTTAAAATATCAAAAACTGGTCCCCTTGGCAGCATTCTGCTTGGTGACAGCTAATGGTCGCTGTAGTAACCTTCGTCCATTTATCGTTCTTGATATCAAAGATATCACCAGGATGGTGATTTCAAAAATCATCAAATCGCTCCTTGATTCGGTATTCTGTTTGATTTTTACAATGCTAATGTTGATTAAACAATAATATGAGCGAATAATAACGAATATCATACTATAAGTAATTGCTGTCTATGTTACGTATAGGTGAAATAAGCTAGCAGATATACAGTGAAAGGATGTAGGTAAGATAAAACAAAAAGTAACGGATATTCAAGGAAGAATGGAATGACAAGGAGGAAGCAAACCAAGGCACGAGAGTGATGGACGATAGTACAAGCAGAATGTTAAGGAAAGTGTATTGTGTCAGCTTCTGCCGTCAGTGTCGGAAAAGATTGTACAACTTGTGCCCAATCCTGTTACTTTAAAGGCAATAAAATATGTTTAAATCAAATCAAGCAAAAGTATGATATAGAAAATATAAAATACATACTCAAAATTAGTAAGCATCTGTCTCAAACAATAAGCAGTATAACATCACAAAAACAGGTTTTAAAATCGAAATCATTGAGTTAGAAAGAAACCATAAACTAAAGACACCAAAACGAAAGGTCAGCCATTCTAAGTCCCCACCTTATAACATATTGTAAATAACATAAAATGATAAGTTGTCGTTAGTTTACGGTAAGTATACAGATCTTTATTGCGACATATTTTCCGATCAATAAATGCCGGTGAAGAATATGGTACAGAAAACAGCAGAGAAAACATAAAGAACTAATATATCAATCGTATCAATTAATAAATAAATCGATTAGTTTACCCTAATGATATTAATACAATCATATCTATATAATAACAATAAATGTGTTGTTACATTTTATTTAGTTTCATCATTTTTCGTATGGATGTGGTAGTATTTACCGTACCCTACCTTTTCAATTGTATAGTAAGGCGATTAAAGGTATTATATTTTTCTCACCTGGTCAGAGGTTAAACAGTTTTGATAGGGTTCTTCACCCAAGGTCCTAAACATTTAATATATACATAAATAAAGACTTAATCTCTTACTGACCACGCGCCTGTATATAACTTGGACGATACACAGGTTCAACTTTAACAGTGACGTGTTTAATAGTTTAGTTACACCACTGCTGAAATATAGTACAGGAGAACTGAACAGTGGGGAAGGAATATATAATAAACAGGTAAGTCATTTAGCATAATAGATGGATATATACATGTTCTTAAGAATATTTTTAATTTGAATTATTCGAAGCCAACTTTATTTAACGTTTTAAGATTCCGTATATTGTTTTTGTCATTTGAATGTACTTTGTTCATATTTGGAATAAAACCACAAGGTATATAAGATGTAAACAAATTCTGTCGATTTGTTTTTGTTAAAGAGATTTATATAAGTTGTAAACGAATTCTGTCGATTTGTTTTTGTTCTTAATACAGGTTTGGCTGTAGTTCATTCTAAAGAAGAAATGTATAATTATTTCGTGATTGGCATTCAATTCCATAAACAACACCCCAACTTACTGGGCCCTTTGCTTGTTTACATAATAAATGTTACAAATAAATATTAGCTAAGTTGTTGGTCGAATTAACTTACTCGTTAAGGTATAGAACTAAACACGTCGTATTATATCTTTCATGGTATTTGTTTTGATCAAATGAAAAAATCGAGATGATTTCCAAATGTTAAAGCGGATTATACATATATGTTTACATATAAATTACACTGTTCGAAATAACATACGGGAGAACTTTTTCACAATTCGTGTCATTTTGACATTACAGAATACAATCAACATCATGATCATATGCTGATAAAATAGTCCGTATTAAAAAAAGGGAGTCAAAATGCTTTAGAACATGTGATAAATCGGGTCTGTATAAATATTTCTTATCGCAAATTGCTTGCGTTTTAATATATCGCACAGGTAAATGAAATAACGTGTATCGTAAATAACCATTTAGCACGCATATCTATTTCATTGGTCCTGTCACCGATATTTTGTTTGTAACATGGTAGATCATTGATATGCAAAGGTGTGTACAGTTTCTCATGTTTCACGAGTGTCTTCAAGGTTTGCATTAGTGAAGTGTTGGATCAAAATCGTTTTAAACAATGACCAATGTTTGCTTTATGCTAAATTTTGACATAAACCTTTTAAATCCCATACAATACTATCACATATTTTATATATCATGTTTCTTCCGGTTTGTTTAATGAATATTTGTTGTATGTTTCAGCTCAATCTTATGAAGATATACAAAAAGGAAGAAAAATAAAACATAACACTGGAATAAGGATTAGAATCACGAGATGTTGACACTGGATTGATCCTATGTCGAATTAAAACAATGACATGAAAACCAAGAAGATTAGTGCCATGGATTTATTACAGTTTTTTAATGATATAAGTTACATTACCATTACGATTCCAAAGTAAGCCATCCAGTAACAGTCTACACCACAGAACATTAGGATGGATGACAGCTACGATTCTCCGGAAGTCGTCACTGGCAAAGAAGTAAGTATGATCAGCAACTTATGATTAGCTGTTGATATAACAGAATGAATTATTACATTAAAAAGATTATTTATATATATACTGACTGACTTATTTACTATGTGGATGGCTATCTCATTAACTGGCCGGCTGATTCAATGATTAACTATCTGGTTAAATAACTTACTGAGTGGCTAGTTGACTGCCTGACTAAATAGACACTGACATACTGAGTGGCAAGTTGACTGTCTGACTGAACGGACACTGACATACTGAGTGGCTAGTTGACTGTCTGACATTACAGACACTGACATACTGAGTGGCTAGTTGACTGCCTGACTGAACGGACACTGACATACTGAGTGGATAGCTGACTGTCTGACATTACAGACACTGACATACTGAGTGGCTAGTTGACTGCCTGACTGAACAGAAACTGACATACTGAGTGGCTAGTTGACTACCTGACTGAACAGACACTGACATACTGAGTGGCTAGTTGACTGCCTGACTGAACAGACACTAACATACTGAGTGGCTAGTTGAATGTCTGACTGAACACACACTGACATACTGAGTGGCTAGTTGACTGTCTGACATTACAGACACTGACATACTGAGTGGCTAGTTGACTGCCTGACTGAACAGAAACTGACATACTGAGTGGCTAGTTGACTGTCTGACTTAACAGACACTGACATACTGAGTGGCCAGTTGACTGTCTGACATTACAGACACTAACATACTGAGTGGCTAGTTGACTGTCTGACATTACAGACACTGACATACTGAGTGGCTAGTTGACTGTCTGACATTACAGACACTAACATACTGAGTGGCTAGTTGACTGTCTGACATTACAGACACTGACATACTGAGTGGCTAGTTGACTGTCTGACTAAACAGACACCGACATACTGAGTGGCTAGTTGACTGTCTGACTTAACAGACACTAACATACTGAGTGGCTAGTTGACTGTCTGATTGAACACACACCGACATACTGAGTGGCTAGTTGACTGTCTAACTTTACAGACACTAACATACTGAGTGGCTAGTTGACTGTCTGACTTAACAGACACTAACATACTGAGTGGCTAGTTGACTGTCTGACTGAACAGACACTGACATACTGATTGGCTAGTTGACTGTCTGACATTACAGACACTTACATACTGAGTGGCTAGTTGACTGTCTGACTTAACAGACACTAACATACTGAGGTGCTAGTTGACTGTGTGACTGAATAGACTAGCAATACTGACTTACTTAATAATTATTTGGTAGATTAAACGATTGATTTATTGATTAAGTAATTGATTGGTTGATTGATTGATTGATTTGTTGATTGGTTGATTAATTGATTGATTGGTTGGTATTATTTACATTTTGTTATTTTTGCTTTATATAAAGCCATGTTGTGTGTCAAGTGACGAGTTTTTATTTATTTGTTTTCGGGATCTTTTCTTTGGCAGCAGTGCTTTCGCTAAATTTGTGGAGAAATCACGTTGATTAATAACAATTTTATATAATCAACAACATAATTAGTACATCATAAACATAACAATACGAGACGCGTGTGTGTGTGGCGTAAACTACAACCTCGCCTACAAATGTCACAACGACCCACGGGGGCCCAACGCGTCGCGCACTGTACACGTAAAACAGACAGTCAATCACGGTTATCACACATAACACAAAGTTCCTTGGAAGTGTTTAGCGCACTGGCTATACTGAGCCCACTTTTGTCTTGTGTTCCACCATCTTTACCGTCTTCCTCACCGTCTTCCCGCTCTCTCCCCGACCCCAAGCTGAATCCGTTTCCTTCTCCAACTTAATGTTCTGTAAAGGGAGGTAACTCCTGACTCCCTTTCTGAAGGTAGCACACCACTAATGCGGTACGGCCGCTACATATTACCGTATATAACATACACATATAAAAGTTCTTGATGCGCACACACATATTAAATAAAAACATCTTTGAACGCGCACACACACATTATTCATATTAATCCAATAGAGACATATTTATCTTGACATTGTGTTCTAAACAAGTGTTGCATTACGTTCATAAAACAACTGTAGAAATGTGTCTTCCCCAGCAAGCAATACTACAGTTTATACCGACATATGACAAGTAATATTGTGTAATATCCGTGGATATTTGTACAAACCATGATGTTTACACACTTCTATGGTAAGTAAGTCAGTTAACGTTTACGCATATTTGTTGGAATAATATCAGTGCTATTTGTAGATCACTGGACAGGTTCAATATATTTATAATAAAAAACAATAATCATACCTTACAGCGACAAGACAAAACAGCCAGACTGGTGTTTAACAGGGACAACCTAAAGGAGCTTCGCACTGCCGTCAATGGTTTGTTTGATATATTCCACGATATTCTGGAAAAAGATTTCGAATTTGGAGCCTTTTTTAAAGTAGAAGATATCATGAAACGACTTGAGTATGTGGTAAGTAAGAAATGCATATACATATTTATTGAACACAAACTTGATTAAAGAAGTGCTGGTATTCAGGGCAGATGAAATATTTCCACATATGTATTTCACAAAATCTTTTCTTTATCGTTACCTTTATTATAATACTAGAGGTATCACGACGAGCGGTGTTGTTTATCATGTAAAGAATTTCGGTTTAATTTTGTCAAATTTTAGATTCACAATTGATAGGTGTTTTTTTTTAATAAAGTTGCATATATTAAGCAGTAAAATAATCCAACCGTTATCTTTGATAATGTTTCTATATATCAGAACACACAGCTACATTTTCCAATCCGAGAAAAATCGCATAAGTCACGTGTTCACAATATAACCAGATTTTAAGTTTGATGTCAAAAAGCATGTGTAGTATGTCAACGTAATTGAGGTAAATGTTCATATTCATGTCAAGTCCAGTATTTTTAACCAATAGAGACGTTTCTAACGTATAAGCCACATTTCGGGGGGATTACATACTATGTTTATTGACTCTTTACCTGAACTCACTCAATCTCTCGGAAATGAGAAAACATATTAGTAGGTATGGATGAAAACATAATACATCGCCCTATGAGAGATATTATACCTAGGGCACGTTAGCGACTATATAGAAGTGTCTCTATCCCCACGGCTATCATTGTGCTGAATGCTGTACTTCAATGTTTTCAAAGAGGTAAAAGGTTAAGTTAGATAAATATCAACCAGGAACAAAATCGGTACTTAGAAAAAGGTCTATAAATCCTGTATTGATGTTTGATCAAATTTAATGTTTAAATGATAAGAATGGTTGCTGTCTTTCACTTTGTTTGCAGTTGATTAAGATAAGTTAAGTAAGAGCTTTACTTCCGACCTTTAGAATAGAGTTCTAAATAATATATTTTTATATGTAGTTTTCTATAAATCAACACCTGTATTTTCATCTATTGGTATTAGACTGTGGATTTTATTGCAAAGGTTCATTATATAAATTAACTTATTTTATGACACTCGGTCTGTATGTCTGAGGTGTTGCAACTGAACTTAAACAGTGCCATATATGTAATGTAAACTACCATATCGTAGATTAACAATTAAGGTGATCCAAGTTACTGTACACCCTGTGTCATGCCTTGTTATAATTTGAATCGGTAAACCAACTAAGATAAACGTACTGCTGATTAACTTATTGGTATATTTGAAATAAATAACATGTTGTATAACTTTTCCAGATAATGACGGGATTTTTTTTTGGCCAAATGACAGAATTTGGAGGAGTTCTTTATCTTGACGTGTTTTATTTTTTATTAAAGGACGAAGAGCATTGGAGACCTATTCGAATGAGGTACCTAGATGAAGTGCGACATGGTTACTGTAACGGTAACTTCAGTGACGACGAACTCAAATGTCCTGCCAAACTAATGCTTGACCTACTTACATGTTTAAAGTACTTACGGGATGGTGTTTACGATAAAATCGACGTGAGTATCTTCGGTCATGGTTTCTGTGATGTATTGACTACTTACCTATACTTTCTGATCCGTACGGGGTTTCGTACAAGTAATGTACTATGCTTGCTTCATCATGTGGTAATATAAGTACTATATACAGCTTCATTTGCTATTCTACGGTGGCATACAAGTGCAGTACACCTGTCATGATGATAGTTTGACGATGTTGATAAAGAATAACTTTACCTGATATGATAACAATTCTGTCAAGACGTCGTCTTCCTGTTTTCATTAGCAAAGTCACATTAATAGGTTTAATTTCGATTTAACACATTTTTAATTTTCCCAAACCACAGGGTTGAGTGATTTGTAATATCTATGGATTATATAGGAGTTAAATACGCTTTACAATATGTTTTAAGTTATTCCGTCTTCGCGCATTGCAGAGTTATCTTCTCTTGAGAGCAGGTGTTGATTGTTACGTCATTTGTTTATGAGAGTAACGTCATCAATTTTCGAGAAAACGACGTAATTTTCTCACACAAACCAATGACGTAACAATCATTACCTGCTCTCAAGAGAGATAACTCTGCAATACGCAAAGACGGAATTACATTTCCATCTGTCATCTCGTTTAACTTATGTATGTATTTGTATACTTACAAAACTAAAGTTTAACTAAGTCATTTAAGAATCTGGTGTTGTCTTGCCGAGATGTTTTGCATTTTAACGTTGTTTAAGTGTTAATGAAATTCAAGAAAGATTTCAGACAGTTCAATGCTACCATAGCATCCGTGTCCATAACCTGTGAATCCATGACTTGTTTAAGGGAGAATAGAGAGCATGCCAAAATGTGTTTAACGTATAAAAAAAGAGTTACATCTATTTTGTGTCATGAGTTTTCGTTTCTTAGTAACCAAGGTAAAATTCTCTTTTTTTACAGCAAAAACATTACGAAATTTTAGAAATAGAGAGAAAGACGGCAGAATTCAGAAGTAAGTTTTTGTTTCATTTTATGGAGTTTTACACATTCACTAGCAAACCGTCAGTGTGGGTTTCGGCTACCCAACTGCCTTTCATCAGCCTTACTGAAGGGTATCGACCATGTCCGATTTCATAACTGCAACAAACTGTAAAATGTTCGCAGTGTGGAAATGCTCACGGTTTTCGCGTCAAGTAAATTAGCGCAAATATATCAGCACCCGAATATTCATTGATATATTATAAAGATTAAAGAGATACAGAATCGAAAGATTTTAGAACCATTGCCACCGCAAATTTATGTGATTCTTCACTTATTTTTTATTCTATAAATATAAATCAAATGCCTGTTTACACTGTGCTTTTTTACAGATCAATCTGATTTCATACAAGGACAATTGATGGATGAAAAATTACGAATGGCACAGAAGGTTATCGACGCAGCGCGACAAGAGGGAAAACTTCAATACTTAGAAAAGTCGTTACAGGAAAAGAATGACAAACTCCAGGAGTATGTATTCCGTCTTTGCGTATTGCAGAGTTATCTTCTCTTGTGAGCAGGTATTGATTGTTACGTCATTGGTTTGTGAGAGTAACGTCATCAATTTTTGAGAAAACGACGTAATTTTCTCACACAAACCAATGACGTAACAATCAATACCTGCTCCAAAGAGAAGATAACTCTGCAATACGCAAAGACGGAATATATGCTAAGTGGGTCACTAACTTAACTTTAAAAAACAAATACCGGAATGTCAACTAAACAATGTTTGTCGTCGTAGGGTGGTCGGGTGGTGCAGTTGTTAGCGCGCTTGCCGGGGTTCGATTCCGTGATCGGACGTAGAGAGGTATGGGGTGACCTGCCCAACCACGTGGGTTTTCTCAAGGTATTCTGGTTTCTCCCACATTAAGACCATCCGCGCTCTTAAATCCGGGCCAATAGAAGTGAATTATATAAGTTAAAATAAATTGTTTCATAACTGTTGTAAACTAAATCAAGTTTTATTTAGAATTGTCGCAAAGGGGGCTTAATATGAGGAAAGAAAATAATTTCATGGAGACCTTTCATTCAAAAGTTAAATTAAAAAGTCAAGTCAAAGGGGTCACAGTGACCTAGTTCTTGAACTCCGAACTTTGCCATCCCAAGATGTCCAAAGTACAAACAAAGAGGGTAAGACCAGGTGTTCCAGAATGGTTAGCGTGTTTTGCTTCATCGATGACACATGCCATTTAAATCTAGGTCAAATACAAGTCAGCATGTCACGTTATCAAAGTAGGAACCGATGTTATTTCAATTACAACATAAGCCACATAAATAAGCATAATTAAAACTATTGACATTCATGTCCCAAAATTAAGATATGTCCTAAGAAAGCTTTACAAAATTCCGTAATCTTCTGTTATAATTTGCTGAGGTTCTAGAATATTTGTGAAAAAAGGGATCGGATGAGATTCTAGTAAAAATACAGTCAACTTCGAAACCCACCCTAGTTAAAATGTCAACATACGTGTGTATCAGTTCTATCTTCTTGTAATATGATGTATATGTACATGTAACTGTTCTGTTTCACTGTGTCATGAAAAAGGAGCGGATCGCCCCGAAAATTTGACAACCTAAACTTGTCCACACTGTTGGAATTACTTCTTTGCCCTATATAAATTAAAGGATATACGTAAAAGAGCGAACAAGGAAGAGTTATATATTTAAGTTGTATTCAAATATATGGAAACATATCAAAGAATGCATGAAAAAAGCATGATCCCTTTATTGTAAAATTACCTTTCGTTGACTTCAAATCTTTAAGAAACGCACTTAAGCATGTTTTCGCTGTAAAAGTTGTCTGCCTGGATTCCCATTGCAAAATACTTATTTCTCAAAATAAGAAAACGGACTTAATAGTGTTGCTTTCTTATTCAATTTATCTGAGTTAAGTTCAAAAACGTGAACATGACCTGTTAAATTAGACAAACACAAAGGTAGGATGTAGCTCAAGTGATCAAACAATGATGGTTCGCATATAAAACTGGAATTCATTAAGCCTAAGCACAAAAGAACCGTTTTCTAAATAAAATGATACGTTTATAATGATAAGGGAAAAGAACAAAGTTAGTTTTTTTTAATTTCTTTAAATGTCCGTAAAATGCATTTGTACGATTACTTATTGAACAGGTTACAAAGAACGAGCTCTGCCAATCTGTGGGGAAAGGAAAAGGAGCGGATACTTAAAGACTCGAATAAAAGGTGTGTATTAATTGTCCAGTGTGTTGATTTTTGTATGGACGTATCACAATGCAGCTGTATAACTAATCACTGAAACAAAAGTATTTCCATTTGATCGGGAACGTATTTGTCAAGTATACGATGTCTTACATTTCACATTACATCTCCAGCACACACGCAAGCATACACACATAGGGAGATATTAGACAGGTGGCATATGAATAGTAGTTAGCGCCTGATAAGGCAGCTCCTGCAAATTTCTCAAAATTGTATTGATTAATGTAAATGCTAATTGTATAAATTATATATATATGTACTGTAAAGCGCTTTAGAATGGCTTATGTTAGCTAGATAAGGCGCTATATCAAATGTTGGATATTTATCTTTTCCCTGTGATGTCGATATGACTGCCACAGAGTATTGACGTTACATTGTTACGTTAGAAACAATTAGATTTTCAAATAATAATAACGTCATAAAAACGATAGTTGTATCAGAAGACATTGCAGTTTGTTATTTCTTTTTATCGAGAAATATGTTTTGGATGAAGATGTCGTTCCAATGTGAAATGTTTGGGACAGATAGGGATTGAATAAATGTGTTTTGATAAAGATGGAATTAATGCAATTTACTTCCAGGTATATTCTATTGACGATCAACAGCCGTTCTTTCTCAATCCTTGCTCGTTTCCTATAGCGATTATTTTTGTTGGATATAATGAAAATGTTTCAATCATCCACAATAATATAGTGTTATTATTTTTGCATTTAGAATCGCAGAACTTGAACAAGAATTAGCAAACGTGCGGCATGGTCAGGAAAACATGAACAGAAGAATGTCGGTAAGTAATCTTGGCCCACTTGTATAAAACACCTCAAAGTTAAGGAAAATCTCAAGCAATGTATGGTCTATGGGAATCTTAGACTTGAGGTAATCTCAAGGGTTGAGATGTTTTATAAAAGTGGGCCCAGTTCTTTAAACGATACATATCTTAAAGTGACGGAAACGCTTCATTTATTTCTATTTGAATCAATTGATAAGAAATATTCTAAAAACTTTTCACATAACTCAAAAAAAGGTTTGCTTCTCTTGAGGTATTTTACAAATAGATAATATGTTTAATAAGTATACCATGTTACCCACATTTGAATAAAATAGCAGTAACATGTTTGGAGAATTTTATTTTAACTAGTTAATTGTTAATACTTTGACTTTATTCTGTGCAATTTTCTCCTGGTGAGAATCCTATTCGTGTGTAAATAAAACTGTAAATAGTTCAAAAATTATATTATAATATTTTGCGAGTTCAACACCTCATTAAGTTTGATGATCGTTTATCATCGTACTGAGAGTGGATAATATAGATAAATCATCCTCTGACAATTTTATAATGTTCACACTAAGGTGCTAGATAAAATATTGTCCATGAAAAGTTTGAAATAATTAACTTGAGTTAGATTAACATAACAATCATCTACAGCTCTTCGATATGCAATATAAATGGTTTCGTTTCTGTTGTGCAAACATAAAATAATCGTCTTTTGATATAATTCTGTATCGAAAAATACATGTGTTCGCATTATACATGCATAGTATGAAAAGACGGTCGCAAATTCAAATACCAGGTCATTTCATATTCGCACGCGTTTGAACAAACTACATCTGTTCGTGTGCGCCAATGTATACAATTTTTCACTGTTTATTTTCCGGATTCAAATATTTGTTATAACTTGAAACACATCTGAAAAAATAGGTACCCAAGAAACCAACGTGATTGACGGTAATCAAATTAAATGAAGATGATTAAAATCTATAAAATACTGCAATTAATAGAAAGCGAAAAGAACATCTGAAGTATTTCAACACGTGACTGACACCAGACGGCAACTAATGATAATGCAATTTTATTTTCGCCTACAGAAAATTGATGACCAATATAAATCGTTGAAGTTACGACAAGAGAAGACCAGCGGAAGCCTGGGGAGTGACTCAGGTATAGTATCTTATTATGAGCTAATACAGACATACTACAGTGAGTCAGGCAAAAACAAATACTTAAACGGTGAATTCAACTTACATGATAACTGATGATGTATGGTGTATATTGATTTTTTTTAATAATGTATGTAAATACACTTATAAACATTATCAATGTACTGGAGAACACGAACGTTTGCAACTGTCTTGTGTGTCAAATTAATGATTCGTCAGTGATCTGAATGAGTTTCATTTGTATTTTATAGTCATTACAAGTTATTACACTTCCCCGGTAAACAAATATATATCGTTTGTAGTTAACACTCTTTTAGTTGCGTACTTTACCTCTATTATGTTGCGTACTTACTGTAAAAGTAAAATAAAATTGAGTCTATCAATATTTCCGCACATCGACGACAATTTTGTCGATATCATGATTTTGCGCACAGGCTGATATAGCATGTGAAAAAGCACTACTTAGTATTCAACGATTATTATAAATGATAAAGCGCTTTCGAATTAGGGCGAGAAACGCTTAATTAAAATGACCATTAAAATAGGCAAGTTAACAGTTAGGAATAAGCATGTTGTATTCCGTTTACATTTCAGACGGCGATGAGGTCAACTCACTGAAAAGAGATAGTTATGTTAAGGAAAAGGTAAACGTCTTGATTCATACTTAATATAATTAATTATGCTATACTGAGAACTTATTACTATCACAATCCGTGATTAATTGTAGGTTTCTATGTTTGAATTTCTAAATTTCCAATACTATTCCTATTAATAAATTTATACAAAAGCGTCTTAATATTTAAGCGTAACAGTTTTACTCGAAATGTAAGCACAAATATGTATACACCAATTTGGTTTAAGAGTTACTTCCCTTTGTATTAAGGATAGCTGTTCATCGTTCACTGGCTGTCTTCTATCTTGATTCCTCTGGATATATCTTAATGTACTTAAGCATAATCAATATGACAGAGGAAATATTTGTACCCACAGGATATTGCCCACCTAGAAGGAGAACTGTACACTCAACAAAAGTTATTTGTTGGCGTGTTGGGTGGAATCCGGACAGACATCAAGTAAGTTTTGCATGGGACATTATCATGTACATATATCATTAACATTCATATTTTTTCTATATCTAAAAGGAATGAGTTATTTATGTACTGTCTTTATCTGTAGCAATGAAATAATTAGCGATTACAGTAAAACCAACATTTTTTGTTTCTATTTTTATAAGTATAACCATTAGAAAAAAGAAAAAAAATATTTATATATTTTTTCTCTACGTGTAATAGTTATGTTAATCACTTCAATTTATTTCTCTTGCACCTTTAACAATAACAAAAATACTCATTTTTTAACAATAAAACCATGTCCGTTGTCATGCTTTTATAAATAACATATATCTATATATTCTGTATACTCTATGCAAGTGTCGAGATTACTTACATATATAGATTTACTAGTACTCATAATTATTTACCATGTCGCTTTCACTAATACTAATCCTAAAGCTACCACAATTGGTTTGTGACATTATATTTATACATGTTCTTGTCAGTGTATCCATAAAACAAAATAGTTCAATGAAATTCATGTTTAGCTGAACCTATCATTCATATAATAATCAGCTAAATGGCTAGAATTTACATATTTTCGTGTACATTAACATGTAGGTTCGATAGATAATATATATAAATATGTGCACAAGTGCATGTTTTCAATGGCTTTAAAAAATTTAAGGAGAATTACAAGTGTTCAAACCTAAATAAATAATCTCGTTTATAGCAAGCTAAGTGAGCGGTTTTACGACACTGAGACACACACGAGAGATTCCGCTTTTGTTAAGCTGAGCCGGACGCTAGATAAGCTATACGACGCAACGTGTCAGGCAAAGCTGGAGTCCGCCAAGATGATGTTACCCCCTCATTACACTTACTACGACACTGTATGTATACTGTAGAATAATTTATTTTCGTGGGGTTAACATTTCGTGGTTTACATATAAGTTTTTGTTATCCTCGATATAAACGAAGTTTAATGTTCATCGGAAATTTATGATTTTACAGTATGTGTGTGTACCTTACAAATTCTGGCAATACAATAACAAAGGCTGCAAAGCAATTTATATATAATGTTTGTACGTTTTTAGTCCAGGAACCCTCCCTGAAAGGACATGAAGTATATGTTATATAATCTTAAACATAATTACATTATTTTCCATTGTTATCAGTAAAAGCATATTATTTGGGTAATGATTGATTAGGTAAATGTATGATACATCGATTTATTAAACGTTAGTGACTTTTGAAAATGAGTATCATTTTAATATATCTTTCAGGAATTAAAGCTAAGACGCATCCGACGATTATCGAGAGTTCCTTCCGTACCCCAAATTATTTCACAAATTCCGTAAGTACATGGTGAGGTCTATCAAATTCCAGACGGCATTGAGGGGATATTTAATCATTAAAGTTCCAATAATACGTTTGGGATGACTTGTTGGCATCCGTTTCATACCAAAATAGGAAAAACAAGTACACGGTTTCTTGAGTCTAGACCTTGATAGTTTTGTGAGTGTATTTTCAAAAACAGATTTGAGAAAAAAATCATAAGCGCATTTGAACTAAATGTCGGTAAAAAGGACAGTAACAGAGAGTGAGGAGACATGAAATAGAAGAACACACATCATAGGAAATAAAAACTAGAGGCAAACCCAGGTGATCCGCAAAGGTAAGCGCTTCCTTTACCACAGGTAGCACTCTGCATGATCTTTCCGTCACTTCCAGACCAGAAATTTATGTCGGTTTCCAACTTCTAACATACAGTGTAGAAGTTGTTAATATTGGCAGACACTTAAAATCATAAATGAAAGTCAGTTAATGGTGATAACCATATGGGGATCGTAGTCTCTCAGGCGGAACCATGCGGAACCTTTGTTATTATTTTTACCAAAATGAAGGATCAATCCTGATGTTTAAAACAGTAACAATTCAGTTGTAACAATTCATTTCAAATTCCGTCTTGTATTATCTATGTTCGATTTCAGACCTAAGCCATGTTTCATCAAAGAGTATACCCCTCCCTCACAAATCAACGGAAGTCTAGCCAGACGACGCAACGAGGTTATGATGCCGCCTGTCTGTAAGTACAGTATACTCTTTAACTGTATGCCTATCTGGAATTCCTGAACTCAGATAACCTCTTTAAATCAATCACTCATCACGAACTGCTTGATGCTATCTATGATGAGTATTTTTTTGTTTATTTACGAAAATGTTAATATGATTTTTAGAAAATGCTATTTTGAAAATTGTCATTATAGAAAATATTTATTTCTTGGTTTTGAATGGGAATTCGACGCTGAAATTGGAGATAACTTAGGAATTTTATTTTTGCTCTAGGCATGTTTTAATTCCGCTGAAACATTTAATTTAAAATGTATTATGTTCGTCTGACACTTTCAATATTTTCACTAAATTTTGTTAAACTTTATTGTCTGAAAATGCTTCTGAGTTTTGTAGGGTTAAATATCCGTAGAAACAGTGTTTTGTCAATTTCTAAAAGATGAGTTGTTGTACATTTTTTCTGAAATCATATTGCCGTTTCATCGGTATTCAAAATAAATAAATCCTGTTGCCATCAGGAAAAAAAGTCTTTTTTTGTATATGTGAAAATTAAAAAAGCTGCATTTCCCGAGAGAAAAATTATGCATACGTTTATATTTTTTCTCAAAAGCGGAGAACCCTGTGATTGTTGATCCCAACACAGACAGGCTCAACGGTACTGTTTACCTTCGACATTTTGCTCACATGTCACAGAAGTTTGTAAGTTTTATATTATTTACCTTGCGTTCGTATTGAAAGGGTAACGTTGTTTTATGTAAACACGACATGTTTTGAAAATACATATTTAGCATGTCATACTGTTAATTGTTTAATAGTTGAAATGCTAATTTTCAAGACATTTCTTCGCATAAGAAGATCGCAAAAGGAATATCAACTTTAATATATGTAACCTATTTATTTCTATACTCATTGGCAAATTTGTCTCTAGACCAATTGAGTTTTATAAACATAATGCTCAATAGAACAGAATTCAATCTTTATATTACATTCAGAGCAGATTTAAAAATGTTTTTTATATTTCTAAAATATCAGACTTATGACGTCATCACTAACTGTTACACGTCTTTTTTGTGAGATTATAAGCTGTTTTGTATAGATTACACCGTGAAAACAATATCACATACACGTTTGTGTAAATCAGAAACTAATGTGTTAATGGTACGATAACGGTAATATGTATTATCAATTTCTAGATATATACTTATAGAATGTTCACTTCCGTATTAAATTTGTACATATTATGGTATTATGTATTATCTGTTTCAAGATCTATATTTATAGAATGTTCGCGTCGCATTACATTGGTTCATTTTAAAACAAACACTATTATTGAAAATACCATGTTCATAATATAAAGTAGTGTTTTTTATCTATAATTTTTTTCTGTAGCTGTTAGATCATTGGAGCAAATTTAAAGAGTTTGATAAAAATGGCGACAGGACACTGGACGTGCAAGAGGTGAGTGGACACCGTTGTTAACCTTTCGATGCGTTTTTATGTATTTGAGTTCTTATGCAAATGGTATTATGTTTATGCATGATGATGAACTAAACGTTTTTCACTTTCCACAGGTTACTAAAATTTTGACGTCACTTGGCTGTGCGTTTACCCCTGGACAGATCGAGGTATGCATTTCTTAATCATATATGAACCTCTCCTAATTATTACAGCAAGTATGATAACAATATGATATGTTAATTATCCTTATACAAATGTATATATAATTATATTTTTTTACTTTGACTTAAGCAAAGGTAAAATAAGTTATAAATACCAAGCATATAGGTTGTCACATCAATAATACATATCAAAAACGTTTTAATACCCTGATACTTACTCTACTTAACGTAAAAGTTACAATACTTAATTAATCATGCATAGTTTTATGTAAATAGAGAATTAATACCAATGTGCTTAAGTTGGCGAAATCGTTTCCGCGCATCGACGACAATTAACAAGTCATTTACATCATGACGTACCTGCTTGACTTATAGGTAACATGTATGGATGCCGTTATCATATTTTATCTTTATCCTAATTTTGTGCCTCCAACCTGGCATGAAGACGCAAGAATAATATTACCTCCTATAGCAGCGATATTTACAGTATAGGAGCCTCAATATACATTTTTATCTAACAATGCAAAACTACCGTCCTTAAACTATTTCCATTTAATAACAAGGAAATGTATAAACATTATAAAGACTACGTGTGTTTTGATAAAAACAGGAATTGAAAACTTTAAATTTGAATAAGTTTTCAATTCCTGTTCGTGTTCGAAACAAACTTAGCCTTTATCATTCATACCATACTGATAATTCATCATATTCCGAATATAAATATTATAGTTTTCAACAATCCACAGAGCGCTATTTAATCATATCGTGTTACCCACTTGCACTCTGGTGCATTTCCACACCTACAGCGTTACACTTGATATGTAAAAAGTGTCAGGTACTTATCCCTACTTAAGGTAGATAACCGGAACTACTTCTAACTCACATCGATAACAGTTTTATAGTTTGTATTTCATACAGGAAGTCATGAATGACTGGAAGATACTAGAATATTATAAATCACTGCTTGTAGTAATAGTGCCATGACGTGTGTTTTATATAGGAAATCATGAATGAAGTAGATTGGACTTTATATTATATTTTACTATTTGTAGTAAATGTCCATACTAAGAGTGTCGTGACGTGTGTTTTATATAGGAAATCATGAATGAAGTAGATTGGAATTTATATTATATTTTACTATTTGTAGTAAATGTCCATACTAAGAGAGTCGTGACGTGTGTTTTATATAGGAAATCATGAATGAATTAGATTGGACTCTATATTATATTTTACTACTTGTAGTAAATGTCCATACTAAGAGTGTCGTGACGTGTGTTTTATATAGGAAATCACGAATGAAGTAGATCGGACTTTATATTATATTTTACTACTTTTAGTAAATATCAAGGCTAAAAATGTGGAAATGTAAGGATGTTGTGAATGAGAGGGGCTGATATACTACTGTAGGAAGTAAATGTCCATAATATGAGTACAAAAACGTGTGAATCTTACAGGAAGTAACGAACTGACTGGACTACATAGTATAAACTACTACTTGTAGTAACCCTTAATCTATATTATAAAGAGTGTCAAAACTTATTTTACATACAAGATGAATACATAATAGAACAAATTGACTGTAGAACATACCGGTTTTATGTACTGCCCGTAAATATCAAAACGAACCTCCTTTTTACTGTTAAAATGGAAAGTTTGGCGGTATGGAAATGCTTGTGTGTTCGTGTTGAGTGATGAAGAGCGAAAATATCAACAAGCGAGTATTTATTTCTGTATATCAAAGATTATCGCACTCCAAAGCTTGAGGAGTCATAACCTGAACATTTCCACACCCGAAAATTTTCACTTTTATAGTATATTGCTAAGAGTGTCACGAAGAATATTGTACACAAAGCCATAAAGGACACAAATTGACAGTATATTAAGTACTATTAGCAAATGTTCATTATAGTAAAACCTCGATATATTGCTGTTTCATTTGTTACCGCTCTTACCGCAAACATTCAATGTCTCTTTTTCTTCATTTTTTCTTAACAATTCCTGTATTTGATCTATTGCCAAATCCCTATATTATGTCAAAATTTGCTGGACAAATAATGTCAGTATACCGAGTTTTTAATGTACCTACCACCAACTTATACTAATAAATCACATCTCCAACACACACGCAGGCATACACTCATAGGGAGATATTAGCCAGGTGGCATAGGACTAGTAGTAAGCGCCTGATAAGGCAGCTCCTGCGAATTCCTCAAAATTGAATTGATTAATGTAAATGCTAAATGCTTTAATTGCATATCTTTGTACTGTAAAGCGCTTTAGAGTGACTTATGGTAGCTAGAAAGGGCGCTATATCAAATGCTGTATATTACTATTGTTGTATACAGGAGGCCATGAAGGAAGTAGACGTGGACAACTCTAACACACTCGACTTTTACGAGTACATGTTGGTGGTCGAAAAAGTTGTTCGGAGATCAGGTATGTGTATGAGACAAAGTCTTCATGTGTTCTTACGAGAAACGCACGTGACGATCGTGTTCACTTCAGGTGAATTAACTTCTTTGTCGTGACTTCAACGTCAAAATTATATTAAGACACAACTATTGACTTGGCCTGATGGAAACATAATGGTTAATGAACCCAATTATTTGAAATTTAACAGAGATGAAAGCGTAGCAAACCTTTTGTAATATTTGTATTTATGAAACATAATAATGACAGTGACACAAATACTCTACAAAAGCAATGTACAGAAGAAAACCCAACTAGAACGAGATATTTTTATGTAATAGAATACTGCACGATGAACTGTAGGAGGATATATGTTATACTGCGTAATTTCCAAGGCAGTATAATTTTCATGGTTTTCACGGTATATTGAATCAGTGCATTCAACGCTGCAGCAAACATCATTTTTCTGGCCAGGTAAAGCTACACACAAAACAATATCGATTAGTAAACTTAACATGTCGCAAAAACATAAGTGTATCCGGTATATCTCAAACAGTAAACTTAACATGTCGCAAAAACAAAAGAGTATCCGGTATATCTCAAACAGTAAACTTAACAGGTCGCAAAAACAAAAGTGTATCCGGTATATCTCAAACAGTAAACTTAACATGTCGCAACATCAAAAGTGTATCCGGTATATCTCAAACAGTAAACTTAACATGTCGCAAAAACAGAAGTGTATCCGGTATATCTCAAACATTAAACTTAACATGTCGCAACAACAAAAGTGTATCCGGTATATCTCAAACAGTAAACTTAACATGTCGCAAAAACAGAAGTGTATCCCGTATATCTCTTACAGTTTTATAATAAACGCATCATCTCTAGATCTTACTGATGCTTACAATAACATAAAATCAAGTGCAAATACTAACACATAAAACATTTAATTAAGTGTGTGTTATACCTTTTGTTATATTTAGGAGTTGTAATTAGTGTTTTCACGCAATGAGTAAGCCATGGCTATTGCGCTTATTTATTCTTATATTTTTTCTTTCTTTCGTAATTATTTTTATTATTCATTTTTGCAGGGAAAGCTCATTTGTACAAAAAAGGTCTGGCCAAAGAAAACAATGCCGAGGTTTCAAAAGCTTGTGTGGTACAATAATGTCCGTGCTAAACAGATCTATAGAAAATACAGAATGGGCTATACAACAACGTGCTATTGATTACCATAGTGATGAGTGCCAAAAGTATCTGGTTTCCTTGGGGGACAGTATAATGCTCTTGGGTAACCATACTGAATAGTGACTTAAGGAAACCAACATGGTTGCCCGCCCTCACGCCAGGATAATATTTCCTGGTTACTAAATGCAAAAATGTGTCGATGACACAATCAAGACAAAATGGATACGTTGCCAAAAGAAAAATGTTATCCAATTATATATCTACCACAGTTTATATTGACGCATTGAAATTGTGGAAACATTTGGTACAAATAAACATGTTAAGTCACGTCGGTTATAAATTGTTATGTGGTTACCATATGAAATGTGGTTACTATATGAAACATTGATACATAACATGTCCGGTTACCTTGGATACAAGATGTATTGGAACCGTCTTGTCTTCGTTGGTGAGTGGACAGTGTGGACACATACCAACATGCCTGGTTAAAATTTGATATGAGGATCCTAGGAAAGTGATGTGTCACTGAATCACGAAAAGTGGCACTTCTGCAACCTAAATGGTTGTCATGGCGACAGACATTAGAAAAATGACATTGGAAGAGTAGTGATCGAGAAATGGGTAACTAGTAAACACTAACCTATGTGAAACATTTCATGCAAGTGTGCGAGCCGTTTGACACAATCATTGTTTTATTATGTAAGAGACTTGAAATGTTGGAAAGGCTCGAACAACAAAACGTTGATTTACTCAAATATTGATGAGATTTTATGCCACCAAACCTATTCGTGGCACATATCATAACTCCTTTCATCAATTAATTATCATTTTACGTAATTCAAATTCGCAACATATCCACAACTCACTCAGATTTCATTGGCTTAATGAAATATTTCATGATTCTTAAGTGTGTATTTCTCTTACAAAAATATCTCAATCATACGCCGAAGTGCTAGTGAATATGTTTCCCCTTGTCATGTAACAATCATGTGAACATTGTTTATATTTTAATCCATATTAATGAATGTATGTACACGTATGATACATATTACAAATGAATGTATACGCTGAATATCTATAGAACGAATACCATCGGATTGTTTGCATAAGAAGATAATTTTGAACCCGAAACGTAGTAATTATATTTTTGTTATATAGCATGAATCTTTCCAGAAACGAAATGTTAAAAACATGTTTTATTATTATAGTGTTCTTTTGCTCTGTAAAACATATTTAATGTGCACTTACTATACTACAAAGAGCTGTAAAAGGAAGAAACCTACTGTTTAACCTTAAAAAACATCCATGCATAAACTATTAAAATGCTTAGTACAGAAAATATTACGGAACTATGTAATCTAAGGAAATTTTGCGTAGAGCCTTTGAAATTATGTCACATCTCTTGTCTATAAAATGAGAGAATTATATATTTATATAAGAGACTTGAAATGTTGNTATATATATATATATATAAGTGCATAACTTGAACTTGACTTATGTATGACATTGTATTGTGCATAATACGTCTGTTGTTATAATAAAAAAAATGATCTCGTAAATATACAATTGTGGGCAGATAAGTGGCTTGTTAAATTCAATCATATTGATCTTGATCACCTCATTGAAATTAACTTTAATAATGTAAGTATTGAATTTGTTGAAAACCATAAGCATCTGGGAGTATTCATTAATGCTAACTGTAAATGGACCTATCACATTGATAATATATGTCAAAAAAGTAGTTAAACAATTAAGTGTCCTCCGTAAATTGAAATATAACCTGAACCGACGTACGCTGAATAAAATCTATAGAACATTTATACTTCCAATTCTAGAATATTGTTGTGAACTTTGGAATGGTTGTTCTATTACTGATTCAGACAAATTAGAAAAATTACAACTCGAAGCTGGACATATTGTCACTGGTTTACCGTCGTTTACTAGTAGACAATCTATATATAATGAAACTGGATGGATTCTCTAGCCCATCGGAGATCCCGTGGAAAACTTCAATTATTTTTTTAATTCCACAATAATATAGCTCCTAACTATCTCAACACTCTACTCCCTTCCCTTGACGATAATTCTCACTATAATCTTCGAAACGTTGAAAACTACAACCTACCTAACAACAGACTTGAATTATCTAACGTATCCTTTTTTCCTTCTACTGTTAGACTGTGGAACCAGTTACCTACTAGTATACGACGCAGTGCCACGTTCTCATAATTTAGAAACGCCATTCAAGACGTAAACTTGCCGCTTGTACCAAATCTCTTTTTTATGGTGATAGGAAAAATAATATTTTGCATGCAAAATTAAGAAACCGTTCTAGTACGTTGAAAAGTGACCTGTTTCGTGTTAACCTTATTGATTACCAACGTTGTGTATGTGGCTCCTCTATTGAAGACACACACCATTTCTTTTTTACCTGTGATAAATATAACGGACAAAGATTTAAGCTTTATCGTGAACTGAATGAATACATGCCTCTTAATTTAAATCTACTTTTATTTGGAGATACATCTCTTTCGGAACAGGAAAACATAACGATATTCATGCATACTCAGCAATACATTCGTGACTCTAATAGATTCTAGCAACCCCCCACCCCCTCTCTTCCTCTCTCTCAATTGAACCATAATATCCACTCTCTCTAAGAGGCAGATACTATATGTCATACATTAATAATGATGAGGATGTATGTATTATAATTACAGACTAATATCCCCCGTCTCCCCCCTCTCCCTCCCCCCTCTTTTTCTCTCTTTGTCTCTCTCTTATAATTTCATTTTTTTAATCAAAGCATTTAAAAATGAAATAGTGTATATATGTATATTAATTCTGCCATCTTGTTGTACTATTGTAAATATATGCTTGTAATTTGCTGAGAAAGGGCTTAATATATGTTTGATAACTTGTGCCCAATTCATTTGCTTGGCAATAAAATATGTTTAAACTAAACGCAGTATCGCACATGATCATAAAAAATGGGAATTGGAACCTTCTAATTGAAAGCAGTTTGAAATGGCATTTGTTCAACTGATTATGCTAGTATGAGTATAATTACTTCGGCCAAACATTTTCCCTTTTGAAAAAAACATATCATGTTATCCTCGAGATTTTAAAATAAAGTAAGATTATAAAGCACTTTTTCCATGACAACCGTATTACTCACTTAAATGATGATGCATGATGTTAAATTGAAATACTAATTATTCACTTTGACGTAAGTTAAATAATGATAAAAAGGAGGGTGAACCAATGAAATGCATTTGTATAAGATTGCACAATTTGTTGTGAAAATGAATTTGTGGGATTACCCCATTGTGACGCAGACGACACAAGCAATTAACAGTTCACGCGCTGTTCAAACTACTTTCACTTATGTCATTATGGTTAACCTTCTGCTTTGTCATTGTGGCCTTCTTGTAAATGGCAGTATTGTTGGTGTTTGTGAATTAAAAACCAATTATTTGTATCCTCAATAATGATAATTGTAATTAGTTCAAATCAAATACTATCCCATTGTGACATGTAGTTGCGCTGCTCCTTCCAAAAGCGAAACAATCCGATTCATAGTTTTAAAATATGTTTATCGATTGTAATTTCATATATACATTTATATACAAAATTATATATATATCTAAAAACAAAAAATACTTGTGATGGTAAACAAATATAAAAACGAAAAACCAAACAAAATCTTAGCATCTGTAGCGCTTTCACATCTTCAGTGGATGTACTTATTTTGTCTATCATCACGTGAGGTGAAAACACTAGGCACCTGCTCTGAATTGTTTAATTATTTCTTCTTTTATGTATTATATATACAAAGGATTACATCTTTCCCGGTACATAAATGATATTATGAGCGATAACATGAGTAGAGGGTTTAAACAATATGCATGATAGACATTGGAAAAACTTTGAGTGAAACGGACATTTTATAAGTAATTTCCTTATCGTTGCTGATGATGCATTGCATATAACATGTATTGTATAGTACAATTCGAGCTGTCATATCCGGAAGATTGGTCATTGTTGACACAGACGACACTAGTCATTATTCAACCGTTTACGTCAATACAATTGATTTCCTCCTTCGTCATTCCAATATCACTGTTAGAGTACATAACGATAAATACCTCATAACGTTCATCTTTCAGTTAAGAATGAATACACTGAGTAAACAATGAACCTATTTAGGAGATTGTGCTATTCCTACTTATTCTGGTTATAAAATCATATTTGTATATTTATATTTTTAAAAACAAATTTGTGTTGTTATTTAATCAATAAATGTTGTATCGTTAAGGATGAGATGTATTCTTGTTTCACATCCTCGTGCTCAAACGGTATGGTAATAAATACATATATAGACACAGGAAACGTTGCTGGAAGAGCAAGTCAGTGGTATATGTTTGTTTAATGCTCGTGATGATCTTTCAGTTAGTCAGATGAATAGACTCATATTTCATTTTGCAAAATATACATAAAAGTGCATGGTCATTTCGATACGTAACCAGCACATCTAGTTGTTGACGTCACACAATTAGTAGCCTCCTGATTTAGCACCTGATTGTAAACGTTATGTCCGCCCAAATTAATTCGTTGACGTCATACAGATTCGGCTCTTATAAAGGAACGTACTATATACAGTTATTGTTCCCACTTGTATTGATTGTCATCTACGCCATGGAAACTTGTCAGGGACTGTGGTTACCGAGCGAACGTGTTGGTTGTTTTAATTTTTACTGTTATGATAAATATAGAACATCCCGGACAATGCACAGAATATCATATATACAAATAATTAAAAATGGAACTTGGTTGACTAACAAAGAAACATTGAACACAAATTAATAGATGCAGAACATGAGGACTTAAAGTATTTAAAACGAACTACTGAAAATATGAGAACTATTGATACAAATTTCGAAATAGTAATGGGGTCTGACATAAGTTCCTATTTTCGTGTCATTTTTGTTGATGAAACATGCTTCAACGTGTCAAAGACCTATTTAATGGGAACGTTGTTGAAATGATTTTAATCTCAAGAGCCACAAATCACCCATGACACATTTTGTAATAAAAATATTCTAGAAAAAACAAAGGTAACCACCGCCATGTTATCACACTAAACCTAACTCTTCTGGTTGTGGTCGACGTCACGGAAACTTTCAAGGACACGTCTCGGGATTATGGAGTGCGTGTCAGTCTAGACTTCAAACATGGCGTAATATGATACAAATAAACTGGACAAAAGATTGAGAGAACCATTGGATTTTAAATAGATAAATATAGAATATGGCAATTATTAAATGCCAGGTGCGTAGATAGGCTGTAAGCAATATCCATGCAAATTAAGTTTATCATTTAGTCATCCATGGGTGTGGGGTAGAAGGGAGGTTGGGAAGGGAAGGGACTGAGTCCGTTAAATTTATTCCTCGTTTTTTCTTCTTTTGAAGATTTTAGATGTCCTGTCAACTGCTTCTTTTGCTTAAATAAGAGTTCGTGCCTGAATGCAAACTACAAAATGTAAAGCAAATAGATTACCGAATACAGATAACTGCTAAATATAGAACAGGTGGATTACCGAGTACAGATTACATGTATTACTAAATATAGAGCAAGTAGATTACCGAATACAGATTACTGCTAAATATAGAACAGGTGGATTACCGAGTACAGATTATTACTAAATATAGAGCAAGTAGATTACCGAATACAGATTATTAATAAATATAGAGCAAGAAGATTACCGAATACAGATTATTACTAAATATAGAGCAAGTAAATTATCGAATACAGATTATTACTAAATATAGAACAGGTGGATTACCGAGTACAGATCACATGTATTACTAAATATAGAGCAAGTAGATTACCGAATACAGATTATTACTAAATATAGAGCAAGTAGATTACCGAATACAGATAACTATTAAATATAGAGCAGTTGAATTACCGGGTACAGATAACTACTAAATATAGAGCAGGTGAATTACCGGGTACACAAAACTATTAAATATAGAGCACGTGAATTACCGGGTACAGATAACTATTAAATATAGAGCACGTGAATTACCGTGTACAGGTAACTACTAAATATAGAGCAGGTGAATTATCGGGGACAGATAACTATTAAATATAGAGCAGGTGAATTACCGGGTACAGATAACCATTAAATATAGAGCATGTGAATTACCGGGGACAGATAACTACCAAATATAGAGCAGGTGAATTACCGGGTACAGATAACTACGAAATATAGAGCAGGTGAATTACCGGGTACAGATAACTATTAAATATAGAGCATGTGAATTACCGGGTACAGATAACTACCAAATATAGAGCAGGTGAATTACCGGGTACATGTAACTACTAAATACAGAGAACGTGAATTACCGGGTACAGATAACAACTAAATATAGAGCAGGTGAAT